ACATTAATCGTAATTTTTTTTTCATATGCCTTTTTTCGCAGGACATTTTTGATGTCCCCTCTTTGGATGTGAGGGTTTTTGCTGATGAGCTGGTTGGTCAGCTGGACTGGATCGAATCTAGTCCCCGGTCCAGGTGAGGCCCGCGTTTCGCCGTGTTTCATCAAAACATGCCCGCTCTAAAATGCTTGCTTTTTTAAAGAGAAAAACTGGGAAGAGACAAGTTGGAGCAGATGGTGAGAGCGTTGACGCTTCAGCTAATGGCTCACTGCAGCACGATCACAGAGAGAATAGAAAAAGAGACTAAGATGTATCGCAGTGAGTACGAAGGGCTGTTGGACCTCATCACCGATATATCTCACCGTTTAAGGTAAGCGCGCAAGTGAATCTAACACGGCCGGAAGTTGAAAAGCGCAACTTTTAGAGATCATGTGTGCATTGGAACATCAGAGCCAATAATTCCTGTGCATGTTTTGCTGGAGGAAGTGAAACAGCGTGTGAAAATGCTGGTTCAGAACGCCGGACAAGTGAGCGTATTGATTTCGGAACATCGCATCAAGTGGTGTTGGGATTTGATGATCAGCCATATGGCCATGTTACAGCAGGATAATGAAGGGTTGCGAGTCCTTTCCAGGTACATTAATTGGAAAAGTGTGGAAAATGGAAAAACCAATGGTGGTATTGTTTTTTTTAGGATAGCGTCCCAATCTGATCAAACCGATGTTAACAAGATACTAAGTGCGCCCGCAACATCGGTAGGAAAAGACAAAAACAGAAGGTATTTTTGCAGATTGTTTATTGTTGAGGCTGGGAAACTATGAAATTTTACTTCCACAAGCTACTTTGGATACTCACTCAAAGCGACATTCCTCTTTGTTATCATTTTGGTCGTTGTTATGGCCCTAATCATTGCAATCAACCAGACTTGTCGCATGATCGTCGACGATGCTCAATATTGTCCTTTTGACGGGGCTGTGGAAAGGATTAATCAAGGACTACCTCCACTTTAGGTATGGTAATGTGTAGGCTACATATTAAATTTGTTCAACTTGTTATTTTTTCTACCAGTTTTCCGTTTGTTGTTTGTACTATTACTCCTGTTTTTCATGTGTTAGTGTGGATTTTCTTCTATTTATGTTTGGCACTTCAGGCACTCGTACCCGAGTTATTACAATCGACGGTTACATAACTGGAATACATCAGCTAAGTGTCACTGCTAAATAAGAGAAGATCGTGTAAATGCGTTCGTTGACTGTTTGTGATCTGAAAGCCAAATATATTACTTAGATTATCAATAGATAATTTATTTTTGTTACTTACTGGTTTATGTTGATTGTCGAAGGAAACTTGTGTGTTGTATGTGCGTAAACGATGTGTTCTTCGAACAGTATTGGATTAATGTTTTTTTTTATTAACAAACCGTTTAAACCCAATACCCAGCTACATGCGATCATAAATGTATTTTTTTTATTCCACTTTGCCAGGTGACGAACCAAATCAAAGACCTTGCTAATTAAATCATTAAAACTTATATTTCTTAGAATCGGAGAGAAAAATAAATTAAGTTAAATTTTGAAATCTTATTTGTGTACTTTGATACATACTGTATTTACAACGGTAAAATATACCTAAGAAAAATGTGAACGCTTGTATAAAATAATGTATAGATACAGTACATAAACAATAATATAACGATACATTTTTTGCTTGCATCTAAACATGACTATTTTCCTACTCTTATCACAATGTCCGCAGCCATCGGCCGGCCACTCCACACGAACAGCACAGTATAAATAAGTAACATGTATTTTTTTGTAATTGCGAGTTTTCAATTATAATATGGACATGTTTGGCTTTTCAAGTATGTTGCAGCAATTGTTTGCGATATTTTGGTATTTACAGTAACGTGATTTGCGGTTCAGTCCAAGTGATTGATTTAGGGAAAACTCGGAAAAAAGAACATTTTTTAACCATGAGAGATGAGTTTTCCTGGGGAATCACAAGTGACTGGATCGATCCGGTTATCCCGGCCAAAACCTGCTCTCGGCGACCTTAACAATGTGTAATATACACTAAATATACAGTAATTGAAAAAACAACCTGACCGAAAGCACTTTTTCGCCATGGGATTCAGCATTGGTGCCCAGATCGCGTTTTGGTGCAGAAATTTTGTAAGACAATCCAATGGTTTTCCTACTTAAAACCGTGCTTCACTTAACGTTTTCTAGCGTAAAACTGTTTATAATTGTATACGAAACGAGTATAAGTTGACAAAGATTGCTAAAACGCAATGAGTAAGAGAGATTTATAAAGAAATACCATAAAAATGCCTCAAATCCAAGCACCAAGAATTGTCGTACAAAACTCATGTAGGCAATGCCTAAATTTGATACTGATAACCATTCATCTAACCCTATCGAGATATATTCAAAATAGAGTATTTATGTACAATATATTGATAAGCTTAGTGCCGAAGAACAAATCATTTTGAATATACGATGAGTTACAAGATTTAAGCATTCGACTACGCTCCGATGTCGGAAGGAAAACATTGTCGTCCCTCCTTGCGGAGATTTGGTGGCATTAATATCAGTTCCTAGGCAATAACGACAAATGTGAAAAAGCCAAGACAGGTAAAAAACCAATAACCAATCGAGAAATGCAAAACAAAAATCCACAATTCGAAGAAAAGGAAATTAACAGTAAATTCTAAACTGGTAGCGAATGCTGCAACAATTCTGCAATCGATAATAAAAGTCGTTTCATAGAACAATAATAAAAAAACTTCATCAACAAAAGATCAATGTTAATAATATATAAGATGCTGCGGATCTAGTTCCAATCGGCCAACTCTGTTCACAATGTGCAAACGGAACTGGCCCTATTATTACAGCGGGATTCATAACAGATTTTGCCATATTCTGGATGCTCAGTGAAGGCTCGATGTGGGAATTTACCCCGATGAGCCAAATGCATTAGAAAAAAACCACGATATGACAAAAGCTGTTCTAAGTCTAAATATGAAATGAGTGTAAACGAAAATTGCCATAAAGCAAGGCCACTTCATAAAATACCTCTAATCATTCTCTACAGTACAGTTTCATGCCTAAAAAGGAAACACATTTGCACTTATATCCTGTCATAATTATAAACTTCACGTATCCATGGATGGATACGTGGTAAGTGGGGCTGGAGCGGCCGCTCTTTGATAGGAACTGTTGCCTTTTCGCTTAACTTTGCGTTGATTTTTTACTGAAGCTATTCGTAATCAGGCTTTCCGCATGACATAAAAAGAGCAATTTGCAAGAACGTTACTATCGCAGAACTATTCAATCGATCTACCAGGACGCGAGGATCTCAAACGCATTGAGATCGTTCGAATATTACCAGATCGTAGATTCAAATAACAAAAACATGAACTTTCATCCATCGCGGAGAAACACATACACCCCGGTTTACAGCTCAAGACTAGAAACAATGGAAAACGTGCAAACTCTGACCGAGTTTGTAAAGAAGTTCAACAGTAGGTGTCTCAATGTTAACATGTAGTTCTCGTTATAATTGCGTTTTTGATCAATTTTAGTGTGGAATACTGCTTTCTTGATCCCATGGTGGCACCATAATAACGTACGTAGCTTCACCACTGTTATGGGTTAAGAACGAACCACTTTTGCCCATTACAATAACGTTTAGCTTTCCTCCCATTATTCATAGTACATTACGGCACTAGAGACGAAAGTCGACGCTTATTACTTTCCACACCGGGTGAAGAAAATGTGACTGAATAATGGGGCAAAAGGTAAATTGTGATTGTAATGAGTAAAGTGGTGAATGAACAGTGGCGAAACTACGTACTTTAATCGAACTGGAGTAGAGCTTGTTTAATGAAACACAGAACTAACGTCAACGTTATTGTAAGAGCCCAAGTGAAACAAACGCTTCGGTTTTTTGATCTAAAAAAGGCCTTTGTTTAAGAACAACATTCTCAGGAGCTTCTGAAAGACTTTCCTCGTATGGCGAACACTATTTTACACTGTGTTTGATAACATTGTTGTTTTTTCTGAGTGGTTGGCTTTTCAACATACGTTCTGAATGCTCAATAGTTTCGAGTCGTTTATTCAAGGTGGTTGGATATGGTTGTAAAAAACTGCACCATCAGATTGTCAGGCTGTTACTCTAATAAGAGTATTTTCCCGACCAAATCCATTGACTTGCAAAAAATAAATGCTTCAACGGACTTGGATGGTTATTTTACTGTTGCGTTGAGAATAATCTATTTTTGTTTATACCTGGTGTTGGGCATACAAAGTCCTTGCCGAGAGAGCATGCAATTTGAAAATTTCAGGTTTTTTATTAATCTGGGCCCTGATCGCAGAAGTATTAGCAGGCTTAGCTACATCTAAACCAACCAATCCGGCGAAAAATGTTGGGAGAACAACAAAACACGTCTATTGAAACCGCTTCTATGAAAACCCCCAGCAAGGACTGCATCGGCCGAACGCCCGCTTTATAATGACTAGGATAAGTTTTCTTTATTAGTGAAAGAAACTTACGAATGAATGTCTATTTGGGAACACCGGAAACTTCGGCGACCAGCCCCACCTAACACGTGAACGCAAAGTAAGCGTTTCAAGCAACAAGAAATGGAAAATGTGACGCTCACAAATGTACCTCGCGACATTTGACGTCCTAGTTTTGTCTCGCAACTGGGTTCTTCTCACTAAAACAACTTGTAACAACAACATTTTGGGTGGTTTTATACAATCTCCTAGACGCCGCACAACACCGCTATGTGGCACATAGTCTGTGGTGCAACGCGAAAACTCGCGACCCTTTCCGTAAATTGTATATTTGAAGCCAGTCTTACTTGGATGACTTTCTGAACACAGCACTGCACTAAGATGAGGACGAAGCGTTCATCGCTCCGAAGATGCCCGTTGAAAAGGAACTGGCCTGTTGATGTTGTTGCTGCTGCTGCTGCTGTTGCTGAGCTTGATTGGAAGTCACCCGCGAGTGCTTCGGCATGGGAGGTTGCAGGTATTCGTGTTTGGCCAACGACAGAACATCGATACGATCTTCTTTGCGATAAGCCAGGCAGCTTCGTATGAAACTCTGCTCAAAAATGGTTGCGGGATTAGTGCGTTACTGAACTATTGGGGCTGCGGCCCTTTACCTTAGCTTCATTAGTCACAGCGGGCTTGTTGGCGAACTGAACCTCAGTCGCCTTTAGGATAGTGTTCTCCTCTAAAATAGTGGCCTGGGACTGATTGTGCCCGAACGGCTTTTTACCATAGAGGCACTGGTAAAATATCACACCTACGCTCCAAACGTCCACTTTCGACGATATCTTTGGCGGATTTTTTCCAACTACAAAACACTCTGGAGGTAGATACCTGCAACAAGCAAGAACACATTGTAACGACGGTCGCCTGTGAAAGTTCGGTCTTCAGCTCAAAGCACTTACCAGTATGTGCCGGCGCCCTGCGACGTCAGATCCATGCCATGATCAGGATTGTAGTTTTCCTCATCCATCACCTTGCTCAGACCGAAGTCGGTGATTTTGATCTCGCCGCAAACATTCCCTTCGGTCAGCAGAATATTGCCCGGTTTTAGGTCGTAGTGAATCACAGGGGGCTTGATCTCGTTCAGGTACTTGAGCGCCGACACTACCTGCATTATGATAGATCTCGCCTCTCTTTCTGGTATTGTCTTATGCTGGAATCAACGATTAAACGCCCATCATTCTGACTAACTGTCGCAATCGCTCCACTCACCTGCTTTAAATAAAAGTCTAAATCATGACCATCACAGTATTCTAGAACTGTACAAAACGAATTTGCATCTATTTCGAACACATCGTATAACTTAACTACGCGGGGGTGATCCAACGCCTTATGGATATTGTACTCCCTTAAAGCATGTCTGGAACAAGGGAAAACAAACGCTTAAAACAGTCGCTAGAGAGGAGAGTGAGACTGCATTCATAAGAGCTAGTCAGTCCCGTCTTGAAACAAGTTTGACCATCACAGCTGATCTGGATCGTGGTTAGCATCATACTATTTCATCTATCTCAAGCTAATAAGGTCTAGCAAATGATTTTACCACCGAACTCACTTGATATAGTTTGCCTTCTTGTCCTCCTTCCAGTCTTTGTTGAGCTGGTGCACTTTACACGCCACATACCTCTGCTCCTTCAAGTCGAACGCCTTATGGACCTCACTGAAGCCACCCTTGCCCAAGAGCATCAGCAGCAGGTAGCGCTCATTAAGCACCGGATGGTTGTTGAACCTGGATTGGTCCTCGTTGTGGATACGTTTCAACTCCCTTAAACAATACCAGTGAGGACTCTGCTCACACTCACTGCTCACACTCACAACTGACCTAATATGAAGATTCCGCTCCCGCTCCAATTTCTCCATCTCGAGCTGCAAATCGGCGTCCTCCTTCTTCAAGGCATTCTGTCTCAGCTTTAGAATCTCATCCGCTTCGTAATACTCCTGCAACGTCAGGGAACCTGGAACGGCGTCCGGCTTGAGGAACCCGCTATCCGTCGTGGTGCCGTTGTGAAGGGCACTGGAATTATTCCGTTTCCTGCCGCCGCCCTCACTGTTCGACGGCCGTTTCTTCAGCAGCAGTTTCTTCTGCCGGTCGATCTCCTCCCGCTCGGCAGTGATCTCCTCCTGCCGCCTAAAATCCCCCACAAATTACTCACACAGTCGGTGGATGCGCCACCTTCAATCACTCACCTTGCCAGCTCTTGGAACGCGTGCCCGTCCGTCCAGTTTTCCTGAAAAGTGGCACCCACCCGCTGCGTCACGAACTGTCCCAATCTTAATCTATTCTGCATGCATTTCTGGCGCGCTTCTTTCTTTTCTATTGAGCTTTTCTCTTTTAGTAACTTTTTAACAACCTGCAAAAAACATTAAGGCCATTAGTTGCGGGTTTTGCGGAATGTTTGTGCAGTCGGTGTGTTCAAGTTTGGATGTTCACAACTTCTGTAGTTGTAGTAGTCGGGTTTATGCAGTGGATTGATCAACATTTTGAGCTGATGGCTTTGGAGGTTTGCAACTTTGCTTGTCTCCTGAGGAGCAGCAGAGTTCGAGTTCTATTGAAAAGGGCCCAACAACGGATTGGGTATTGATCACATGAACATTACTCTCTTTGGGGGTGAATTTTCGTGAGACTCAAAAGTCTTTCTTTGAAGGTGGAAAACGTTAAGGCTTTTAAGAATTGAAATCTGGTGATCCGGACGGCTTGGACACACCAACTCGCCTGGCGCGCTCTTCGCCGCTGATTACCTCAATGCATTTGTTGACCTGCTGTTTGTGTTGGTCGATGGCCTTTTGTTGCGTCGAAATCTGATGCCTCAGCTCTTCATTCGTCCGCGTCAGTTCTTCGATTTTATTATTCCGTACCTCCAGATCGGAGGACGCTTGCGTCTCGAACTCGGTGATCCGCTGACACGTTAATTCAGTCTGAAAGGGGAGAATGAGGGTTTGCGGCGGAATCGAAGTTGGTTAGCACCTACCTGTATAAATTTGCTAACCATACATAGGGGTGGCAACCTCGGATGAGGCTGCCGGGAAGAGGTGATGAAGTCGAAAGGCCCCGTCGTCACGGGCGAGGGAAGCCCCACTTGTTGCGGGGATGGAGGTAACTGGAAAAAAGTGGGCCGTTTTCAAGCTCCGCAGCGGCAAACTCTGGACGTCTGCTTACTAAAATTGACGCGGCTACTTACCATGGGACTTACCATAGGATAGGGTTGTTGTGGACTAGGACTTTTGGCACCGCCGTGCCGAATGGGACTGCTGCCCGAATGTTTAAAGTACTCGCTGATTTTCTTATCGGGCGGCGGGATGGGGATGCGGCCTCCCCCACCGCCCTTGACGACTCCCCCGCCAGCCAAGCCGCCCCCCGCGTCATCCGCTTTGCGTTTGCGCTTCCGTTCGGGGGCTCGCACAGTCTTCTCAGGCGTGTTGGGGTCCACTTCCTTGTCGCTGTGAGACGAACCTTTGGTGAAAACAATCATGCTATTAGTACCGAGAAGAAGAGGCATTTAGCGGCCGCCGCTGTGCGCCTGCCGCGCCGCTGAAAACAAGGAAAGGCACGGTCTTACTCATTTTTAGTACTACCACTTACATATCGGGAGGGTCAGACAAAGCCGGTTTGGGACTATGAGAGTGGGGCCTGATATGCAATGTGCACGAGGTCAAAATGCCTTTATTTCTAACTGCGTTTGCGGATCGAACACCTCCACTTGCCCAGTCGCTGGATTCGTTTTGTGACTTCACCACCACCGTCCACTTAGATCATTCGATGCGTCACGATCCCGGTTTTTCTTAATATAACCAGCTTTTGTTCGGACGCTCTTTGCAACGCATTTTCGGCACTATTTGAGTCCCTATCTAGTTAGAAATGAGGCAAACGGGCACCGCAATGAAGACACTTCGAGTCGATTTCATTCAGATTGTGATTGCACAGCGCGGCCAATCATACACGAGCAACGCCAAGTTACACAAATTAAAATATGTAATTGAAACAGGGGGGACTTTCACCGCACTAACAATCTATAAAATAATTTGCCGTTTGAATCGCATTACGAAAGCTTGAAACAAGAACTTGAGTCCCAGCTTAATTAGGCAACGAACAATCATTTTCATGGTTTCAATATTTCGATACTGTAATACTTTAAGCGTTGTTTTTACTTCGTTTGGTTTATTTTCTTCAGTAATCTGCGAGTGCAAATGTTGTATAAGTTTAAGAGGACCATTGACCACAAATCAAACGACAATGCTATCGATACTTCGCAAATATTACCGCTTAAATCTGGAGCGCAGCTCGCTTACATCGCTTGGTTCCCCAAAAAACAACCAGAAGCTTTATTCCGTTAAGTTAAACAAATATAGTTTACTTCATTCAGCAGCTTTATCTTCAATATGAAGTCGAATTCGTAAAGTTGCGCAATCCTCAAACATGTTTTGCAGCTTAAATATCAACAGTTTTTCGTTCGAGTCGGTTCAAGCTGAAATCAAATTGAACAAACGCGCCTAAATATCTCGGGTTTTTT